TTTTAGAAACTTCTGCTATTTATCCTGGTGCACTCTTATTCTTATTCGTTGTGAGAATCCAAAGCACCAAGCCATGGTTTTCTTTGAGCTCCTAAAAATGGTTTTGATGCTCATGGTAGAGCCATCAGGCGCATATAAAAAGAAAGTCTGGCTTTCACTCGCGGTGGGAAAGGGAACAGCCGTCACACCTATCTAATAGAATTATCACACACCGGACAGGTGCTACCATCGTTGCTGGATGGATAAAAAAATATCCAACTCTAAGAAGACTTCCGAGGGGTGTCCTATGATTTTGCAACGACTAACAAAAATAAAAAAAAAAATTGTCAAAAAATACGGAAAACTATTCGGATGATCTGGCTACTTGTTTGTATAGGTTTTTTATAGAGGCGGTTCTGATTCTACCAGTTGCGATAGACGGCTTTTTCTAGAAGCCGAGATATTCATATTTTTGGGATTTTTTATGAGTGTCGTACGATTTTGCGACGCACATATTCCTTTCTCTCATGATCTGTGCTTGTTATGAGGTCGCATTTAGATGATCTTCGGAGGATCAAATAGTTGAAATATATATCCCATCTGTGAATGTTTCTGAAACCATATTTAACACTTGTCCTTTGATACTGTACAACCACTTGGATTCGCAGCTCCTTCGTTTTCATTATCCAGGATATAATCCCAAAATCGTAAGTATTTTGAATCACTTTGGGGTCTACTCAGTTAAGAAGGATGTAGTTTGGAGCGCTCAACGTGGTGAGAACCCCGGATAGCATATTCTCTATGTAAATCTTATTCAGGACTATCGCCTTCAGAGAGAATCATTCGCCCTCCGAAGATCTCTCTCCGACTCCTTACTTAGTCCTAGGCTCCTTTTCATGGGTAATATGGCTTCCCATTAATACAAACACAGGAACACATTCATAACACATTCATTATAGAAAAATTAGAAGAAACAACGCCAACGCACGAATAGAGCTGATAACCTTTTGTAGCTTTAAAGAACCCCTTGAGCAAACCTGCCATCAGAGCAGGCTGTGAACTGCAGTACCCCCGCTCGGACTGGAATAGGCCCTCTCTTTGTATTGACCAACTGAATGAGTCATGTTTGCCGTAATACTATTATACTAGACTTTTAATGCATAGCATTTGTTTTGTTTTGCTATGCAGCCACTCTCCCCTTCTCTATTTTTCTCTTCTTTATCACCTCCATTCACATGCCATCTTAGACTTTGTGTAACATGGTCTTGGACCCTGCCGATATGAGGAGGGGTTAGGTTACAGTAGTAGCGAGTCTGTTTCTCATGGGGGTCTTGTTGTAACGGCCATCTCTCAAAAATTTCCTCCGCAATGTCCAGAATTGAAAAGGTCTCCAGGGCATTTTGATAAACACCTTTATAGTTTTTCTTTTGTTTAGTCGGGCTCTCTAGCAGACGGAATATCCAGTATCAAGTCGTTTATCGGTTTGATCATCCCAGTCAAGGTGGTGTTTGGGCCCAGAGATGTCGTATATCGGGGATATCGGCTGTACTCAACGACTGACCGTGATAGGGACTAGAGTAGGGTGTTACCACGTTGACGACAACGCGGGTTCCCTTTCTTGCTGCGTGAACATGAGCGATTTGGAGGAGGGCGCAATTTGCCTGAAGACAAGCTTGTCAGCTTGTCATCACGATCCTAGTGACATGCGTGGATACTTGAAATGTGCATGTTTACTTCATATAGGTAAGAGGGGTGGGCAAGCAAACAGGGCGCTTCGCCGTCGTCTATGACATTCTCACCTCGCCAACTAAAAACAAGCAACTTTGCAATCCAATCAGTTAAGTCAGTCTACGAGATGGGCAAAATCACAGTAACAAGATAAAATGGTTGTGGAAAAGCCATGAGGCGAGAGACCTGAAAGGACAACAACATTGCATTCACGGAAAGGGATATAGTATCACTTCTAAGACGGACCGCTTTCTCCTGGGCGAAGTCATCTCGGAAAGGTAACATGAGTGTTGGGTAGGTGAGTGAAACCAAGCTTGTCTACAGCTTCTCTACAATTCATCGATGCTTTAGTGATCCTTGTAACAGGGCCATCGTCCTCAACAAACCCCACGCAGAGTGATCCACTCGATTGGAACTAGGAGAATGAGGTTGCTACAAGTATAGCTCATGAGATCTGGAAAGTTCTACTGCACCAATGTTGCTTTGTGTGCGAGTGGTCTATCTTGCTGGTGTGTTCAGGGATCTCATTCGAAGACGTCTTTAGCCAGGTGCATTTATTGAACATGAAGGGGGTAGGTGGGATGTTAGGACAGCGCTCTTGTTACGGTAGTTTTTGCACTCCCAATATATCCATTCTGAGTAATATCTCAGTTTCAAAGAACATTGACTTCATGCGGTAGCTGAAGAAAGGTACACTTGATGCAGTAGATGTAAATTCTTTTGTATAGATCGCTTGAACACCTTATTTGTGGTTCCGTTTATGTTTTGTCTTTATTTGCTTGTTTACTTCGAAATAAACGATTATTTTATTACTTTACTAAATGAAATTTTAGTGGAGCTTAGTTAAGCTTTTCGTAAGTAAAGCATATCTGACCGCTCCTTGTACCACACTGTCTACGGTTGGTCAATAACAGTGGCAGATACATTAGATCATATATGCATTATGCAAAATTGAGGATCAGTTCTAGAACAGTGCAACATGTAGGGCAGAGGTTAAGTTAAAAAGTATTAGATATCTGATTCCGTTGCAACAACGTTGGAAGGATCACGACAGAAGAAACAAACGACTTTTTTAAGCAAGGAAACGGCTTCAATAAGAATGAACGGGATCATGAACTAACATAGAATACTTCGATGAAATGATACGATGGAAAGTCGGAGAGCGAAGCGTCGGGGATGTCGCGGACGAATTCAGTCGGGCTGCTGGATGCGGGTTTCTGGGCGTCGAAGTCACACAGAAAGATTTGGAGTCGAGGCTACATGGGCGAGATTTGGAGCCACGCAGGCTCGCTTCAATACCATTCAGGCATAAGGGTTTGGGGAAGGATATGCTGATGAACCAGGAGTCTGACGGCTCCTGACAGACACGACGATCCGAAAACGGAAACAAACGACGATAGTTTACTCTTACTGATCTCATATGTTTATCGTCCTTACCGCGCCTTCTTTCATAAACAATTTCAGGGCCCCGCGTGATCGCGTAGGATCACGATCGAACACTACTAACCCCCCGGGTGCCTCTCTTTAGTAGCACCTTCACACTGGAACTTTCCGACCCCCTATCTGACGAACAAAACCGTTCATCTACCGAAATTATACAGGGCAACATGTGTCTATCAATTTTACAGAACTGCACCCCCTACGAATCGTTTACGACACTACGAAAAGGTCGTGTGTATCCTACTTCAAAAGCAAAAGGCTATCAATGTCAAGCAAGGTTAGTACAAAAATTTCAGTCTCTACACTACAGTCTTTCTGTATGCGCATGATCAAGTTTGACTAACTGTTCCTTTTGCAACCAACTACTTTGATAAGAGGTCTCTAAAGAAGGGGAATGTACAGAATGAAAAATCATTCTGAAACAAGGAGAACCGTCATGTTGTGCTCATTTGAGAACATTTATGGCCACAAAGGGGGCTTTGAGTCCTGTCCGGGTTCTTGTGTCGACAGTGTCGCCGACACTTTCACGACCACATCTCACGATTGTAAACGCCACACATCTTCCGGTTATCCGACATTTGCGCTATTTTTTCCGCTACGACTACTCCCTGGGACCTCATACGATTCCTACCAATAAGACCCCCTGCTTAGGAAAATTTCAATGAGGATTAAGCCGGGTTAGAGAGATTATACATGTTTTTCATAAAATTCGCTAAAATCTATCATAAGCATTCTCCTGAAGGGAACGGGTCAAGTTGTTTATGGTACCCACTTACGTTATGCAGGACTCCATTCGGGCGTGGCCTGCCCCGAAATAATTGAACCGAAAGACTGGAAATTTTTTAGTTGCTTAAAAAGGACCCGATGCCCATAACAATCTGATGAAAGTGTGTAGCAGATTACTTGATGAAGTGAAGGAGGCCCTCAGAGAAGTCTCCAAGTTGGCGGTTTTTGAAAATTGATAACTTGATCGAAATTTCTGAAGATAAAGAAAGACCCGATGGGGACAAGCAGCTCCTGAGATGAGCTCGGCGTGCATGAAATGAATGGACCCGCCCAAGATAGACTGAGCGTGCCTTCCACTGTGTGATACATAGCGCAAAATTCAGAGCTCTGTCCCAGAGCGTCCTCAAGACGTCCTTAAAATACAAAGTTGAGGGAAGAGAAGGAGCAGGGGTCACGGTGGGCAGGACGCGTGCTTAGCGCGGTTAAATGGAGAATTACGGTTGCCGTCAACAGTACAATCAAACCTAAATGATAGGCATGTGTATGGTTTCGCGTACAAGTTTATCAAGTCGCATTTTGAGTTTATCAAGTCGCATAATGTTCCAGGTGTTTATACAATGATCATGATAAAAGCTACATATCGACGCCATGGATGAAAATTCCCTCTAATAATTCATTTGAGTGTGATATCATCGAAAGTGAATGCACCTTTGGAACGTTTTTCAGAAGAACAGAATCTTATATTCACATGCAAATCTATGAGAAAAACAGGTGCATTTGTACTTGCTTACTTTCTTAGTCATTGAAGGTACGTATTTATATGCTGCTTGCATTTGCTCCTAGGTATTTAGATTTCATACTCGACGATAATCCCGTCATTTTTTGACGCTTTTTAGTTCTGCTCGGAATCATGTGCCTGTCGCTGATCGGCCACACCTTTTCCTTATAATTCTCGATTCAGTGTCCCTGTTCATGGCAAAACGGTATGTGTTTCTGGAGAATTAGATGGTGATCACTAAATAATTCTGGTTTACTCTGCAGCAGTGACCAATTGGAATTCATCCTATCTATTTAGCGCTTCGAATCGCCTTTCTGTTTGTTCATTCATTGAATTGTTCCATTAAAGGCACAACCCAGGCAGAGTTCGTGTGAACGCTTCTCTTCGGTCACTAGTATAGAACCCTAGAGGACAATCACAGATGTGGCGTCCTCGTGCACGAAGACCGACCGATAAGAGCGCTTAGGCCTTGCAAAGTAAGCTGCCCAAGCTGCAGACTTTTTTTCTTATCAGGCTGTTGTCTGGCGCTCTCTCATCTGTAGTGCTCTCTCGCCTCATACTCTCCTCTCCGCGCTAGTCTCTCATTCCCTTAGCACAGCCGATCAGGAAGGTGAGTGAGCCCTTAACCTAAGCGTTTTTGACGGATTCTTTTCCTTTTTTCTTTACTGCCGGCCCACTTCCCACCAGTACAACCACATTCGTGTACATGGGCCACACCAATGTGATCCTGGGGTAGGCCTTTAACGGAAAACGAGTGGTGTTCTGTCAAACGCGGGATTTTTCCCACAAGTCTCCGTTAGGAATTCATCTAATTTCATTCTGATGGTTAAATATGTCTTACACATCATTAATTATTTGGAAAAGATTTGTCCGTTCATCGACTGAACCAAACTTTGCAGGATTTGAAAGTCAACGTGTTTGCAATAAGTCAAAAGCAAAGCACACCGTCAATTAGCTCAACAGACAACTACACTGGTGTGCAAAACTTAAAGGCACAACCCAGGCAGAGGTCGTGTGAAGAGTCAGATCTTCGTATAATGTATACGAACCCTAGGGGACAATCACAAATGTGGCGTTCACGTGCACGGAATTCGACCGACAAGAACGCTTTGGGCTTGCAAAGTAAGCTGCTCGAGCTGCAGCGAACGAGCTCTCTTATCAGGCCGTTGTCTGGTGCTCTCTCATCTGATGCGCTCTCTCGCCCCATACTCTCCTCTTCGCGCTTAGTCTCTCGTTCCTTTAGCACAGCCAATTAGGAAGGTGAGTGAGCCCTCAACCTGAGCGTTTTCGACGGATTCTTTTCCTTTTTTCTTCACTGCCGGCCCACTTGGCACCGATACATTCACATTCGTGTGCAAGAGCCACACCAGTGCGATCCTGGGGCATGCCTTTAAGGACCAGATAGATAAATTGTCCTAACTTATTAACAATTAGATGGAATTGGATGAAACTGTACGGGCATAATGCTAGAAGCCCTACAGTCATGGGCACCGAAGTGGGCCTCATATGTCTTGCATCCGGCTTCAATCTGGAGCCTAAATGGGGTGGCCACCCAGAACGATGGGTATCGTGGGGCAGGACAAGAGGGGTGAACTAAGCAGGGAGAAGTGACTGTGGAATGTAGTGGTGTTCTTGATTACATCAAGTCTCAGAGACAACACTAGGGTGACTTTACGCGAGGAAGAATCATTGGGAAACTGAAAAAAGGAGTTTTGTGTCAACCACAGCATTGTTTTTTGTGCATGAGAAGCAATGTGGACCGCAGCCACTGCTGTCCCAAGAAGAGGAGGTTGTGGGTCACGAACAACCGCAGCAGCAGGTGATTGCTAGGTTTTGCTACAGGCAAAAATGGACCCACGTCAGTCACATGCTGCAGTTGCAAAAACATTTATCAGGATTGTAAGGCATGTAATCCCAGTCCGGACAGTGGCGCAGTGACCGCCTAGGAGTGATCTCTCTCATCGATCAACAATACCTGTATTCATTTGAAATCCACGCCTCGGCTGGGACATTTGGTACGAGCCGAGACATTGGAGATGGACCACCGAATTGAAAAATCGCGTATTCTTCCCGGTCAAGAGCAAACTGAATGTGAGTAGTGATTCTGGACTTACCTGCATATGGGGAAAATAGGAACGTGTAATCTACCCAGGACCATCGTTTAACATGATTGTTTTGGTAGTGCATGCGACATGATGTGGGGAGGCATAAAGTTGTCGGGGCGTACTGATCCCCAACTCATGATCGCGTTACACTTTCTGATCAACGTGATTGTGGTGTTGTACCCTTCTGTCATGTGCATCTTTCCAAGGGTTCCCTTGCCCTCAGCTTCAATCGTATGGAGGGCAGTGTGCGAGAGTATCGAGCAGCCTGGGTGGAAAACTCTTGAAAAGTGAGGATTTTCGGTAATTGGTGAAGCCATTTATTTCCTCCAGTCTAATTCTATGGAGCACGTGTGGCGTGGATTCAGATGAGCTATTGTAGCACATGACCATGTGCCAACAATAGTCCTGCAGTTGTCAATCGCGGTCTCCAAGGAATCGGTCACTTCTCCTCAAGAACTCTTAACTAATCTTACGGCCTGTATGGGAACACGTAGCAGAGCATACTTTGCAGTCCGTAGTGTTCATACACCCCATCAAGAACCAGCTCCTCTCTTTTGAATGTCTACCATGAGTTGGAGAAGCCTCACCTATCGACCGCTTCAGACAGGGTATTTGCAGAAAAATGTCTTTTCCAATCGCCCCTTTGCGCTTTTCTGTTAGTAACTCTCTGCACTGTACCGCAACATTTACTTCTATATATGTGCCAAATTTGGTCCACCTAGGTTAACTAGCAGTGAGATATCATGTGAAAGTTACTTCCGTCCTTAAGTTTTGCACACCAGTGTACTACTACATACCCTAACTGTTCAAAAATTTGACAAAAAAGCGCCAGTCCGAGGTTGTTTTCCGTTTTTATTTAATACCTCTACTCTTTCTTTCTTCTTCTGGAGAAACTTCACTCGTCGGGATCTACAAGGTTCTGCTCTTGAAAACTGAACATCCTGTTTTTGATGTTCGCTTTCCGTATTAGTAAATAAGGTAAACCGTTAGGCTACATTCATAAATTGCGTCGGTGCGGTCGGTGCTGAGAGGATGAAGAGCGCAGTGGCGCGTGATGCATTCTTGGCGCGCAGTCGCTCGATCACGCATTACTTCACTGTAACGTTACAACAGGAACAGCGCGCGCTAATCTGAAAATACTTCTGAATGAACTTATAGAGAGGAATTTAGCTCATTACCTCACACGATTGACTACCTCAAAAGCAATTTGGGAGCTGTTGTGATGGAATTTTTCAACAAAGTTGGAGATAACAGCAAGCCTAATTATTTTCCTATGACTTTTGGTGAGTCACTTCCCAATTTCGATCATTGAATGGGAACTATGTCTAAAACCCTCTATAATTTCAGGCAAATCTATTGAAGGCGGAAGCAGATCGCTGGTCGGTCTGCCACCTCTGATCCCTGACTGGAGCGAGACGGAGAAATGCCACCAATATCTGGATGAGTACCCTTATTATCTTGAAGAATATCGGCAAAGTGGCTATAAGGTAATAATAAGTATAAGCAATAATCGTAGAAGTAGCATTAGTGTAGTATAATAGTAATAGCAACAATAGTAATAATTTTTGAGGAATTGTCCTCACTCACTATTTCAGAAACGGACGACGAAGGTAATGCTGTCGCAAGTAGCGTCCTTTACCAGGTCTCGAGAGTGAAATCTCGGATCGAGTCGCGCCTAAGCCAACCAAGCATTCCATCGTTTGATGGTTGAACGGAGCAGTAGTTCTATGCGAGGGAAAAACGAAAAATGAACATTCGTTTGCCTTGCATGTCATTGTGTCGGTTAGGAGACATGCGAAGAGCTCATGATTTTGAATGAAATTATGATTTGAGGCAGGTGCATCACGGAAAGAAATGATTGCCATTGGCCGCCAATTCTATTGAAGTGTATCATAATTCGACGCCACTTGAGCAATTGTGCCTTGGCACTGTCTCCTTACTACATATCATGCGCTGAGCCTGTGTGACTGTTTGTCCGTCCACGAAATTCGGTACTATGTCAAGAATCACGCACAGAATCCAGATACCAAAATATTCATTTTCATTCTGTAGATTACACCATTACATAACTGTCAACGACATGGTTTGCCGTACAGTCAATACCCGGTTTAGGAGAGGCGGGGCCAGTCCTACCATTGGTACTTCTTAGAAATTTTTCTGTCCATGGCCTTTTTCGGAGGCCTTGATACGACCCCCCACCCTCTGTGAACGTGCATGTATGAAACCACTAACATATATATGGTAGGGGGAGAAACTCGAGGGGCGCGGGAGTATTTTCGGTTTTTACAGGTGTTCCGCTTCAACTAAATAAAATTCCTATGAAATTTGCACTTGCACCTTTCAGTGGTCACGACTTCCTTCAAATTCGAGGATGTGCGACAGCGTCAGAAGATTAGGGATATCCGAGTTATACTCTTTCCAAAAATCGCTGAATTCCCCGAAAGTTCATATAGTGAGAAATTTGCGACCTGGTACTTCTTTCCGTGCACGTGCAAGTTTTCAACCTTCAGGCGGCCACAACTTCCTTCAAATTCATCAATTTGTGATGCTGAAGCCAAAATGACAATAACCATGGCTCAAGCTTTCTAACAAGTGCTGAAATCTTATTTAAAAATTACCGATTCAAAAATTATTCGCTTGGGATTTCTTCTGGAGGAGCACAATCAAGCCATCAAGCTTTCGTGAAGATGCGGATTTTTTGGGCTTCAGTGCTCGTAGCTTTCTTCAAACCGAATTTCGTGTAAAACCTGACGGCAGATTATAAAACGAAAAGGTAGCTTACTGGAAATAATTCTAGGGTAATGGAGCAGGGATCAAGAAGAAACCGAAACGGTTCGTAAGAGAAATGGGCCGCTTCCTTGCCCGTTGATTTCCGCATTGGCACGC